GCTGTATATTGCCATAGACCACCCCATTCAGCTTGTCGTTCAAAACAAATAAGCTCAACACGTTGTTCTTGTTCGGCTTGTTTAAATGCAATCAATTGTGATAAGCCACATGGGCCTGCACCAATAATTGCTATTCGTTTTTTAGTTATGCTCGTCATGAATATTATTTTTGTGTCTTTTAGATCTACCTTAATATACGAGTTTTGCCGTTCTTTTGTCAACAATGTAATAATATAAAACCCATACAGTGTATATAAACGTGTCTCTTCTAATACGTATATTATATTCTTATCATTTTTACATTTCGTAAATTGACAATAAAATAAATTCTATATCTATGTTGTGATACAAATGTGTTTTTTTTCACATAGGCGATGTTCTTATTGATATTGTTCTAATATATCTATGAGTACATTAGTTGAAGGTTACACGCTTCGAATCCACTGACATAAATTTGTTATACTTTCAACTTAATAATACTTTCTTATCAAAATACAATGTTTAAGGTTGATAACAAAAAATGGCGTGCTATATTCAAAATTATAAAGTTTAGTTTATACGATTGCTATCCATTAAAGAAAATGAAACGAAAAAGACAACAAGTATTGATATTAATGTTTTCGTAAAGAAGGCAAGGAATTTCCAATTTTTATTTTCTAACTGTAACTCTTATTTAAGAGATATTTCGGAATCAGTTTGCTTCTATGCGTCTATACTGATGAAAAAAAAATTTACTGTGTTCATAAATTTTTATGACCGGACCAACATAAACGTTACTGTTCGTGTATTTAAAATCTTTCATCAAAGAGCAATGAAAAAATAAAATAAAATTCTGCTATTTGCATGAATCATCTTGTCGTCACAAAAATAGTTGTAATTTTTAGAATTTAGTCATCATTGAATGTTGAAAGTGAAAATAAAAAGTTACTCAGAAAACTTTAATTTTGATTATGCTTTGGCAATGGCTTCTAATACTTCGACTACCAAATAGTTTTCACCCAAAATAGTAGTTTGCCAAAAACTATGACTTTTTAATCATTCTTATTTATGAATTTTTTCATCATAAATTTTTAATCAAAATTATCATTGAATTGTATCAATCAACAGAGTGGAAGTTGTTCTACGAAACTCTAGATCTCCTATATGCCATTATTCATCTTGTAAAAGGAAAAAATCTATCATAATAGTTATATTGACCTTGTTTGGACTACTTTACCTGCTATGTTTTACTTTTCTTTGCTTCTTTTATGCAGTTAGTTTCTACGAGTCTGAGATAAATTTTATATAGCTTTATATGATCTCAAAAGACACATTATTTGCTAGACGATATTTTGGTAATAAAATTACTATCAAGGTTTCGAAAAGTCTATAACGATGTTGTTTAATATACATCATTCGTCGATATTTTCGTGAGAACGTACACGACGTTTTTTTATTAAAATATTGACTATTTCCGAGGAAGTCTGAGTTGTTTGGTTTCATGTCACAATAACCAGTCAAAACAGGAAGATTTTCGCTTTGAAATCGAAAGTCAATAATTTGTTCCACTTGAAGACATGAGCAAATGCCTAAAACTTGTTGGTTATTCATCATAAGATACCTAATTTACAGTGTAATATTAGGTAAAGTACTGACAAAATCTCATCGTGTACTAACTTGTACCACTTTTTTCTGCGAAGAAACAAATACTTGTCTAAAAAAAATTTATTATCGTCTTTTTCAAATCAAACGTTATTTCATAGCTATGAAAATTGAGCATTAATAATTAGCGATGATAAAATAATGATGCTCTCGAATTCTAAAAACATAATGGAATCAATAGTTTGCATTCAACCAAAAGTATAGAGAAGAAAGATACATGAAAAAAATAATTTTTTGTCAGTTTCAAATTCATCAAAAGAATGGTATTTACAATATAAGATTGATGCACTAATAAGAAAAAATAGTTATCTGTAAAACTATTACAAAAACAAGCAAAGAAATATTGATAGAGAAGATAAGAAGTAATCTACATGATACAGCTTTGGCTTGATTACAATAAGAGGAATTTAAAAAAAATATGTTACTACAAATATAAAGCCCATGCACAGAAAGAGATTAATAAAAGCAGAATTGAATTATAATATAGAACTGATATACAGTTGATTGTCACAATGCATATGAAAGTATTGTAGATACTGCGAAAATTCATATTTCTAGTACCAGTTATTCAGTCTTCGATATGCTGATTTATTTAAAAGACAAAAGAAATGTGTAAACGTCATTTTATTGATAAATAATCGTGTGCTAACAATATAAAGTCATTTGAAAAGTTCATATCAATACTTGTCGGCTACAAATCGAATGATGGTACAATAGCGATATCAACATGTATATCAATTGAAGAAAATGACTAAGAATTCATTGAATAATAATTTATAATCATAATATTCATATCATGATTAGAGATACTTATAATTTCTCTACAAAAAAAAAACATGTCAGATATGTTCACCTTGTTTCAGACTATATCATTAATAAAATTTTGAGTTCAAGAGATTGTTCTGAAGTATAACTAACGAACGGTACAACACGAAATATTTTGAACTAAGTATCCACCAGAAAAAGAAGTGAAGAGATTATGTATTGATCTTGCTTTCAATAACTTTCTAACAAAAGTTTAGACTTTCTCGGAAATAGTCAATCTTTTCATAAAACAATTCAACATGTACATTTTCATGAAAATATCAACAAATGATGTATACTGAGTAACTTTGTTATAGACATTTCAGAACTGTTATCGAAACGTGGATCTTTTGAGACTATGAAAAACTATTTAAAATATATCTTTGGTTCTTAAAAGTTAATTGCATAACGGAAGCAAAGACAGGTAAACCATAGTATGTAAAATAGTCTAAACACGATCAGTTGACACCATTATGATGGATCTTTTCGTTTTAGAAGACAAGTAATGAAGTGTGGGACTTATATAGTTTCGTAGAACAGCTTCCACTCTATCCATTGATACAATTGAATAATAATTTTGATTAAATTTTTCTAATGAACAAATTTATCAGTAAGAATGATGGAAAAGCCATAGTTTTTGACAAATTAGTATTTTGGGCAAAAACTATTAGATATTTGTAGTATTAGAAACCATTGTCAAAAAAAATATCAATATGAAAGGTTTCAGAGTAACTTGTAATGCTCTTTCAAACTAGCAAGCTGATTGTCAAGAGTAAAATGTTTCAGCAATTTATTTGGATGTTGAATTCATGGACCTTTTCGTAGGCACCATTTTATGAAGATTAACAAGACGGTAGAAAAAAATCCACACTGATTATTTGACTTGCATATTCGGTCGTTAATATTTCTTCTACTAAAGACATTTCAGTGATCTCAATAGGTTGAAGTCACAGGAATAATTTTCATTCTCTAGAGCATTGAACTACTTGAAAAAACGACGAATATCAAATAAAAATAGAAGATATTTGCGTAACTCATGGGAAAAAAGAATTGTTAACGTAGGCAAAAAAACTCTTTAATTACCAGACAAAAGAATATTAAATGGAAGAAAAAAAAAGTAATAATTAAAATCATGCTATCGTTATTAATGAAACATTAACCAGATATAGTTATACTTGTCTTTATAAAACATGATTGATGTCAGATGCAAATATATGTGATATGATAACTCATAAAAATTGGCTAATTAAAAATAACATAAGTATTAAACAAAAGATGAAGTTGATGATAGAAAACTTCAATGACGTAGTTAAGCATTTCTTTTCTTCTTTTTCATCGAAGAATATCATGAAAGAAGTATGCTGTCTTATTTTATGAACTCTTCTGAGCATTGAACATTTCACTAATTGGATGCATTAAAAAGACAAATAAATTTGCATTTATGAAGAGAAGCCATATAGCAGTTATTCAAAGTTGTCGAAATGTAGTGCGTCATAGACACAGTAATAATCTCAGGAGTATATCGTATTTATCGAATAACTTGTCAAAAGAAAAAAAGATGAGAAAACGAATGAATAATTAATTCATGTCAATCAATTTATTTATATATTCCGACCAGCTACAGAACTTTTAGTTTGTCAATATTCCGACATATCATACATTGTTCTAGTTATTTGAATTCATTTTTATCATCTACTAGGAATATAATTATGTTAATCTTTTCAGGTATGATGCTGTTTTGCTCGAAATTAATAAAAATTGAACTCAATAACTTTTCATAGACGTGAGTAATGCAAACCTACATGGATTATATTATTTACTTTCTCTTACAAATGAGCAGATTTATTTGGATAATCTGATACAGCTTTATAATTATCCTACTTTTGTTTCTTAACAGTAGAAAATAGGAGTGCCAAGATGTAACCAAACCTGATAAACTAATAAGAAATTGTACTCAACATTGTCATATTTTTCTGTCAATATTTTTAATGACATTTTTTCATATAGAAATTATTGGTAATATAAAACAAAAAGCAGTTGATAATTGAAGTCAAAGACGCGGAAATCTAATTTACATTATCATAGTTTTTTTTTCTACAAGAAAGTAGTATAAAGAAAAAATAAAAAATTTTGAGTAAGTACTTATACAAAAAAAAGATATTGTTTGAATGCATTTCCAAGAAATCTATATATATATATATATCTGTATACGCTTTTTTAAGTATCTTTTGTTTCTTTGAATTCATTTATTTCAAGTAACAATATCTGTGTTATGTCACTATTTATAAAGTATGGATAAATGAGTTTATATGTTTGTATTCTTCACATTAGCGACATAAAAATAGCAAGATAGTATAATTAGTTTCATTCTCCTCTGTAACCTTGATATTTTTTTTTTCTCTCACTATTTTTAGAAAGAAAACATCTCTATTTAAGCCATATCCATCTGTCTCTATTTAGTTTCATTTTACCGTGTAAACATGATGTATATATATTATATGTAATATTCATTTAAGAGATCAAATAAACTTGCGATACTATTCAACTAGATAAATATGCGTATGAAATTACCTGATCAACCTCATGATTTATCTTATTATACGACATGGTGGTTAACATCAGAATCTTCGATCTCACCTCAAAATACAACATTTTCTGGTTCAGACGATAATGTATGTATTGATGAACATGAAGAAAAACAAGTAAATTTTCGTAAAGATATATTTAAAAAAGAAACGATGTTTTTTGTTTTTCATTTAGAAAACGACAATGAACGAAATGACATTTAAATGTTGTTTTCCACTAAAAAAATTTCGATTAAAATGGAAAAAGTGAAGTTCATTATTATTATTATTATTCCGTTAGATAGTTTATTTTGAACAGACATTGACGAAAAATAAATAAAAATATTGTAAAGATGTATAATTTTATTCAAGCTAAGAACTTTAAAAAAACCAAAAGAAAAATTACATTAAAATAATAAAGCAGACATGTAAATTGATATACTTTTGAATTTCATTAATTCATATAAATATAATTATCAATTTAATGCCATAATTTTGATTAAGAATCATTTTTATTGAATGTACTTGATCAAAATATTCAATTTAATCAATCATATTGAAAAACATTATTTTTTGCCCATTTCATCATTTGATATGCCGTTTTTTTCATATTATTGACCATATCCATGAAAGTTATAACATTTTTTCCATTTTTTAATTCCGTAGGCAGACTTTTTACGACCCAAAAATTTTTAAAATCAACAACAATAGTTGCCCTATAGTGTGAGAAAAAAAATTTTAAAAAAATTTCCCAGAAAACAAACCATTTACCAAAATTGAATTTGTTCTTGACTCGTTAATGATATTGGTTTTTTCCATGTCAATTGAAGTTGTGTCCATCTTTGAGGAGAACTATGTGTTATACCATCACCCTAAAATACAAAACCTGTAACTAACAAGACCAAAAAGAAAAAGCACAGAATCTTTTTTCACGAACAGTTGGACATTGAACAAGATGTGTTTCTGATGGAATATTAACAAATGTGCCCAGTGGCTCATTACCATTTACTATTCGACCTTGTATAAATACACCTTTAATTGGTTGATTTGATTCGATTCGAACTAGAATCGTTTCAAAAACAAAAATAAAAAGAATACTGTTTTATATAAAAAATATTAATCGTTTTACTAGATACTGTTTCATTATCAGGATTCCATGCCGTATTAAATTTTGTTATTGGACTTGTTTCCGGTGGTTGTGGTGCAATATGATGATGATGTGGTATCATAGGACCGATGCATACTTTTGTTGGTGCACCATTAGGATATGTATGAATTTGAACAGTTAATAGAAATGTAGCAAGAACAACAAGAACAAGAGTCATTGTTATATGAATATATAAATGAAAGAAAAAATACTAGTTATTTATATAGGTATGTGATTGTGAAAAAGAATGAAAAGAATCCATAGTTCAAGTGATTATTTGTTATCTTTTCTCTCTGCTTTCTCTCTCATACATATATATGTGTATATATGTACTCAGGTCAATGAATATAGAGTTTATATCCATCTGTAAACGACTGTATTTTACTGTATTGTACGACCCAATAGTTCGATTACATATCGTCGTGACCGTATATAACTTCAATGAACGAAGAGAATTAAAGAGCATTTTCTTACCATCTACGATATCGAGACATATGCATGTTCATGACCATGTCTTTTTGACCTCGGTACTTGCATATGATCTGTTTCTTCAGAAAAAGTATGAGCAAAAATTAACAAAACTTGTACATGTGTAGATAGATCGATGATAAAATCAGATAAGCAAAATATGCAAGAAAAATGGAAAGAAAATGAGAAATTCGAATAAACATAGTGGATGCAATAACATGCACCATCAGATTTCAGCATACTTCCATGCTAAAGAAAGAATGTGTCCTGTCAGCGTTTTTGAAAATAATAAAGATACGAGAATAAGTGATATCATTGTATGAAGAGAAAAATAATGAGTTGCACAAAATTATAGCAAGAGAATAAACATAAGAAACCTATGGATACATATAAAATGAATCATATCGGAATATTAAATGTAATAAAGAAAAATATGTTCAACAATTGTAATAACTAAAAAAGTATCTTGAATATGTCGGTTTAATATGTGAGATCGTAGAGAGACGAACTAATAGAAAAATGAAAAGAAATAAAATCATTAGCATAATTAACTTATGTTGTAATATCAATTAATCTTTGTGAATGAGAACAATGAGCAATTTGATTAATTAAGATAGCTGAATATTTGAGACACATAGGTTTCCTATACGGAATTGACATTAATGGACCATATAGATCAGGACAGTTTGTACTTGTTTCACTTCCATTTCTTATTCAATGTGTTCAATTATACTTCGATATATTTATTTTGCTGTTTGATATGTATAGATTTTAAAAATAAATTCAATTTATAGAATGGTTTTAAGAAAATCTATACGCATAGTTAAGATGGCGAATTCCGTATCTGTCATTGTTTCAGTTAAGTGGTTATTAAGAAACGATTCAATGTAGATGAGAGAAGATGATGTTGATTGCTTAGTAAATTTACTCAAAAGGTCACCATCCCACAACTTAGTTATTAAATATTCGATGGCATTTTGCTACCGTAGACAATATGACTCCGATCACAATTAAATCAGTCTATTGCTAGGAGTCGGAAATGTAAAATTAAAGCAGAATTTTGTTTTTCTTTGCCTTATACATGGTTGAATAGAGCGTAACGAGTTGATCAAGACAACGTGCATTTACAAGATTTTGGAGTAATTTGTTAAAGAGAAAAATTTCAGTTTTTCCAAATGACTTGCTATCTCCGAAATACAGGTCATTTTTTGATAACTGACAAATTTTCAAGTATTTCATTTCCTTTAAATGTTAAAACTGGTTTTTTTCTCAATTTAGCGTAAGAAACCTGAATCTAGGAAATTCATTTTAAATGAGTGCCCTAGATTTTATTTTTTACTCTAAATATGACACAGACAGTGTTGATATGTAAAAGAAATGAAATACTTGAAAATTTGTCGGTTATCAAGAATTGACTTGTTCTTTTTAGAAATAGCAGGTCATTTGGAAAAACTGAGAATTTTCTTTCCAAAAAGTAATTCCAAAAACTTGAAAATGTACATCGTCTTCATCTAACTAGATATAAAGTGAAGAAAAATAAAATTCTGCTTTACTTTGCGCATATCCTTCGGTACTTCATATTTGAAAAGAATCGATTTTATGTCAGTCTAAAATTGTGTTTACCGTGGATAATGTCGAATGCATTTATCAAATCTTGTTCATGTTTGCTCTTTTAAATAAGGCACCGAGTTCCATTGAGAAACTGTTGTCGAGGTAACCTTCGATGATCCTATTATCATTTCGTCATCTTAATCACATTGTTCTTTGTCTTCTATGTGGTATGATCATCTCCTATAAGTTCATATGCCACTACATATAAAATGCACACGTTTTCTTTCTTTCTTTTCTATTGTTGGACCTATGCATCTAGATTATTTTAGTAAACTATATAACCAGAGCTAACAGAAACGAATTTCTGTGTAAGTGTAAGATGTGAAGGGAGACCACTTTGTCTCATGGTAATACCGTCGTTTTGATTGTTTAACCAAGCCAAAGTGATTAATGGAAAAATAGATGAACTATTAAAATCAGCATTAGATGATTATGATTAGAATGGTTAATTACGAAACTTTTCCAATGTATTTTATTAATCTTGTTCAACCTTTCGATAATTGAAAAATTCATTTAATATATATCTATAGACGATTCACATCTCAGGAGTTTTTTCTAAAATCAGAATTTAGTAGACTCATCATATGTTCAATAATAACTTGTTCTGACATACTTCAATTTATTTCTTAACATGAATTAATAGCAATTTTACAATAAGATGTAATTATTTCATCATGTAAATAGTTTTCTTGCTTTAAACTAACACATCTATTGTAAATCATTATAGTTGAAAAATATGGATTTCGAAATACAGTTTAAAAATTGGATCGTTTTTTTCAGTAGTTTGGATTATAATCAAATAATACTCAAGTAGATTGAGTAAATTTATCGCGAACTATTTCAAGAATTTTAGTAGAAATCATCAGAATGATGTTCGCAAAATTTAGTTGATCATCAACCCATGTTTTTTGAGCAATTGTTAATAATATTTGATCAAACTATTTTGTTTGTTTTATTAAATAATGTTGAAGTTACTCTAGACTTAGATTGTGACACTTAGCGATACAGCGAATTAGTAATGATAGTGTTAGGAAATAATTTTTGTGTTATTTTTCTTAATTTGATATCGTGTTTTGGTAGATGTTTTTGAGTTTTTTTGAATGAAATCATAAATAACGAATAAATGACAAAAGATAAAATTCTTGTTAGAAAATTTTGATTATTATTTATGTGCATTATGGAAGAAACTAATGATTTTGTTTGTTTTAATTTTTCTCCGATTTTTGATAGAGAACTCTTGTTTTTTTTTTTTAGAAAAATATTTCATGATTTTATATATACCAAAATAGAAAAGCGGTTAAACTCTAAAATATCTGTGATATTATTGAACCAGTCACTTTATTTGTATAGAAAAAATATGTTTATCTATCGATTAACCATAATGGTGTTCCATTCCGAATAATGTACTTGAATCTTGAAAACAAAAAGAATTAATCTGAGCCACAGTTTCTAAGAATCTGTATCTACTTGAAATACAAGTCTCTCTTCAAGAGGCCTTCAGACAAAGACTGTGTAACCCGCTTCAATGTGATTACGATGAAAATTGATGATGAATTGAGATTATCAATAATAAGATCAAAGACTTAACTAATATGTTGATGAATAGCATTTGCTAACGGTTACCAATTGTTATTGTTCCTTTTTCGCTCTAATATAAATATGTGGATTTGTACTTGTACTTATACATATACAAATAAATTAATAACAAAGAAAGACATATTAAAGATGAAAGAGAACTGGAACGAAATAGAAGAATTCGTAAATAGAATGTGAATGCGATTATATGAAACAGCATACTACAACATTTTTGTACAAACATTCCATTTTAATAATATTGAACCAAAAAAAAAAAGATGCCTAGAGGAAGAGAAAGATGAAAGTAATATGACAAAATGGTTTTACTTTTCATATCATTATTGTAGTGATCAAATTAGACAACTGAATTTTATCAACTAAATATAGTTTTAATAAAAAAGATTAATCTTTGTTCTTTAAAATTTGTTTAATGCAAAGAAATTTTTTCACAAAAGCTGTTCACTCTTAAAAGCCAATCGATAAAACAACATATACAATGAAATTTAAAAGAGAATATATTATTAAACTATGCATATTGATGGCTCAATGAACAATATTTATGTTTACTATGATGAAAAAATTACAAAAAAAGAAGCATCAATGAAAATAATTCATTTTTATAATTTGAGCAGAAATCATGAAATTTATTCAATGAAAACCGTTCATTTATTTCAGCCATTGGTAATAATTATATCTTTCAAATATTTAATCTGAAAATTTTTCTTTGCAAACATTCTTGAAAAAAACATTAAATAAGTAGCAAAGAAATTCCAAAATTTATTAAAGAATAGATAAAAACAGATATGAAAATAATTCATTTTATTGTGTCTTATCTAAGTTTTAAACGAGATGATCGAAGTAATCGAGAGAATTTTAAAGAATTCATAAGATAGTAGTTAGAAAAAGTAATATTTTTCTAAGTACATTGATGCAGCATATTTAGGTAACTCGTTCACGCAGTATATATTTGACAGAATTTTCTAGTAAAGTCATTTGCTCGTAGCAATTTCATGTTCAAAAGTCTTAATAAAATCAGTCAGGAATTTAAAGAGGGACGCTAGGGGCGATTCCCCTCTTTTCAAAATATTTTTCTCGATTATTCTTAGAAGAAAAGACTTTAAAATGAGCTTTAAAACATATTTTATGATCATGATTTGTCTTCCATTCTCATCAAATCATTCTCTTTTTCCACAGAGTCATCTCTCATTATAAAAACCCAAGATTTGTCATTAGATAATATATTATTTTTCAATTTTTAACATCGAAATCGAGTTTCAATATCCCTAAATAAAAAAAATCAAGTTTTTAAAATGAAATCTTGAAAAAAAACGACGTGTCTCAATATATCAAAATATTTATTTCTAAATATACAAATACTCATCCTCGTTAATCATTTATGAAATTCATATATTTAAATCGAACTGTAAGTTTATACCGGAATTATTCGACTGCTTCCTCCAGTATACAAACAGCTTCTCTTGATTACAATAGAGACATAGTATAAATCCTTACTATGTTTCTCTCATCGCTTTCAGTTATTCGTTACTAAGACATCTATATTACAATAATTCCCTATGTTTGCAATATAGTATAGATTTTTGTAGAATTCCTTCACTTTGTTTGAAGTAAAACTGTAATTGTAATTTACTTTGCGGTTTCCGGCCCTTCTTTCCTTCTTGATACCCTTTTATTACGAATAGACATGCAGTAGAAATGGCTTCTGCATCATCAACTTTCATTACATACATCATTAGGTGACACAAGATAGCTACATTAGTAATATCATTCAAGTTTCTTTTTTGAATATTTGTTGATGTATATTGATTTTTCAAGTAGTTGTTTTACTCATTTGAAAATGGCACGTTCAAATATCTGAGGTAGAAGCATGATCGTATTATAAATGCTAATGAATAAAAAATAATACTATGTTGATGTGCAACAATCTGTTTAATCTCAATACCAAAACATACAAGTCAATTGAGTCATAGCTGGAGGAAAGAAATAATGTAAATATCTTAGATTTTTTACAACATAGTCTAGATTCGAGTTGAAACGTTTTGAATGATTAAATAACCTTAATCAATCAGACTACGACAGTAGTTAAATTAATGAAAAGAACAATGAAATCAAGGCAAAAAAGAAATAACAAGCATACAATAAAAAAAAAAAAAAGATAGAGCGTCAGCAAGAAAATAAAAGAAAGAAATATATATATCCAAATTATAGTAATAAATAAGTCTGATCGGTTCTCTGGTGATTATATAGCATTGGGGAGAAGTTAATATCTATTATAGACACTTTATATCACGTAGTTTTGTTTTGACATAAAAAACAATGGCTAAGAAAGAATATGTAAGTTTCATATTTCAGCCCATTAAGGATTGCGTTGACATTATTTTTATGAAAACATAGATTGGTGAATCGATGCAGTTAAAAAATTTTTGCACTTAAAACTAATTTTCGAATGTTTTGACCTTTTTCGCTTTCATAAAATCATCTTCTTTTCCATTTATGCTTATTGTTACGATGTAAATCAATCATTTATTTTTTTCCCTATTCTATATATATATATATATGCATTGCCTTATGTTCTATCTGGTCATAGTAGTCAACATAATATTAACATTTCCGGAAAAAACATCTGCAATTGTGTATTTCTTTTCCACTTGATAGAACGATTTTCTCCCGGAGTGCATTAATATAACGCAACCAATGAAGAATATTCTATTATTTTGGTGTTAAAAACTATCTTAAATGACTAGTTAGTATTTCATTTAGAATCGAGTTTCTTTTTTTTTAACATCATTCACATACTTATCAAATCATCTTAATTCTTATACCGGAAATAAATATAAAAGAAAAAAATGAAGTGATCATTCAGTACAAACAAAAGATAACCTGTGCTCTTTTTTTTTTATTTTTACTATGTCATCATCTCTTGAATTGAAGTTTTTGTTTTCCTTGAAATCTATTTTTATTTTTACATTTTTGATTTATTTATGCAACCTAATTAAATATAAGAATATTTCTTTTTTTAATGAATGTATCACACACATAAAAAAAAAAAGACAAATTTCTAAATTCAATATGATTTTCAAACTAATAGATAACATTGTTCATATTATTCAGTAGAAGATTCAATGATAAATAATCTTATGTAATTAAAATATGACAAAAATATCAAAGTTGAAATAATAAGATAATAATATAATATGAAAAAAATGGAAATCATGTTTGTCGACATATATTGAACGTTCCTAATTTAAAAAAAAATCATTACTTTCGACTAAAAATAGAAAAAAGAAAATATACTCTTATTATCTCGATTTATTATAACAAAAAAATTCTTTCGGAACTAATTAAAAATTTTTTTTTTTCCATCTCAACAATCATGTAACTAATCCAACTTTAAAGATCTAATCAAGTCATAAAATAAGAAGTTAATTAAATCATTTTTACTTTGTTCTTCTATAAATATGAACAAATGTAAAACACTATGATAAAATATTGAAATCATTAGTTTATATTTTCCGACATTTCGATAGTAATATCATTGCTATATTACAATATGTCATTGTTCTATTATTGTTGATCAAAATGTTAATTGAAAGAAAATAAGTTTTATCACCAGCTGTTGACAATAGGACATTTTAATGGACAATAAAATATGTTATCACAAATACATCATTCAAACAAAACTAAATATAAAAATTTTGTATTTTTCGAACAAAAAGAAATTTTTCATATCAACAACAAAAAAAAATTAAATGTATTCAGTAGAATAATATTAACATACATGATTCATTATCAATATAAAAATAATATTGCATTACTCAATACTCCATTATAAGTCTTTATTAAGATTTTATGTGTCTTAAAAATGAAATTCGACCTACTTTTTATTTTTATTCAATATTATTCATAATACTTTTCAAGTATTTTTAATCAATATTATCATTTCATTTTCAAAAATAGATAAATAATTTTTTCTTTTTTTAACAATTCTATTCAATTTTATGAACACCTGGAAAGTAAATATTTCAATGAATGAAAATAAATTATCAATATTTGAAAGTAAATTTAAAAGAATGATAATGTATTATCATTTACATTTTTAATACTAACTTGAAAACAAAAAAAATGCACTTTAGTACTTATTTTTTATCATATATCATCTATTGATAGAATGAAGTGAGCTCGTTTATATAACTCTTAAATGTTCATTCAGCGATAAAATAAATTTTCTTTTTTTGTTCTTTCTTTATTTAAATATTTTCTAAATTCAATGAATAATATCAATTAAAACAATATTCATTTCTTTTTCTTTTTTTGTTTACGCTTGAATGAACAATATGAAATCCTATTTGAATTTTCAATTAATATATAGACAATTTTAATTTAAATCGAATAAGAAATAATTTAATAAAGAACATTTCATATGTCATCAAGTTCATTGAAAAGTTTTCTTTTTCTTTTTTTGTTAATATTCATATTTATTAAAAAACAGAATGTATATATATATATATATATCGTTATAGTTTGTAATTAAAAAAAAAGTAGTTTCATATATATGAAGTATTTTTTATTAAAATAACAATATTTATTCTACATCGTTCTTATCTATTCGACTCACTTTCTCTAATTATTCATTGGTTATGAGTACAGGACAAGAAGCATATTATAGAACAAAAAGTATAGCGCCATCACCAATTGCTTCGTTCTCTCGTTTGTGCTCGGTCGACAGCGGTGATGACTAAAGATAGTTAACGACAACGAAGAAAAAAAACTGCCCGCCAACTCGACCGAGGCTCTCCGTCTGATTTATTAGACATCTTCTCATTCCCTTCTTTTTCTTTCTGTTCTACACACTCGTTCTTCTTTTTGACTAGAGCAACTATTTTCATCGTTGTTGTTAATATAATAATAATAATATTATTTTCGAGAACGGTCTCTTCTCTCTCTTCATCTCCCTCTCTCTCTCTCTCTCTCTGTGGATAATATTACTTTTTTTCCGTACAAGCAAACACACACATAGTCTCATAATCATTCAACTCATACGATTGGACAAGAATAAACAAAGACAGTTTAACTATATGGGTGACATTATACACATCTTTATTCAGTCTGTTCTCTCATTTTTTTTCCTTAACCATCACTCACTCGATGTATTGGCGCGCGTACATACAATCGCCAAGATGTGAATATACAGAAAGAGAGAAGAAATTCTCTTCGTCATTTTTCTTTCTTTCTTTTTTTTTTCGTTTTCATTTTTTCAAATTTATCATCAGGGCAAGTACATAGACAATAAACGAGAGAGAAAGAGAGAGAGGAGAGAGAGGAGAGAGACAGAAACTAGTGAAAGAGTTTTTCTTGTCTACTATTCATAAAATGATTAAAAGTTAGATTAATTAGTTTGTCCTTGTAGTATTCATTTTCTTGTTTCTTTATTTGGCATCAACATTGATACGATCAATGAAAGGTAAAACTTGAATATAAAACGAGAAAAATCCGTTAATCTCTTTTTAATTATTATTTCTTGTTCCATCGAAAAAAAAAAAATAAAATAAAATAAAAAAAAAAGAAAAAGTCGTTTGATTCTTTTTTTGTTACTTTGATGAAAACAGATGAGAGAAATATTGAAAGACAAAGAAAAGGTCCGAGTAACGAAGAGTAAGCGAACCAGAGTAGATTACTTTTTGATTCTTATATATATGTCCGTGGCAACACGGTTAGATCCATATATGTATGCATATATATATATATATATGAGGTGGCAATTAAACTTGGCCTATCTCTCTGTTCTCTCTTCTCACATAACCCTTTATATATATATATATACATATACATATATATATTCTAATATGCAAATCGAGCGCGAATAAACGAAGCTCGTATTCATGTTAATCGTCGATCAGTTGAAATACTAAAATCATATTTCTTCTTATTTATAGACATTCATAGGTATTGTATGATGACGATGGAAGCATCATCGAATAGTCGAGATGGACTAACATCATTATCATCATTGACAACAGCAACAACTACTATTTCATTACAGTTATCTGTTGAACAGTGGGAATTATTAAGACGTTTACGAAATAGTCATTTAACAAAAACACAAATTATTCGAGCCTATGATGAACTAGATCGACTTGATCGTGAACTTGGAAATCTATTTAATAGTGCACCTCCAGCAGCTTCTTCTCTTACACTTTCATCTTCATGTACAAATGTTCCTTCACTCGATCCGGTATCACCATCGACAATGAATTCTCAACAAGTATCTCCACCTTCATTAGCATCTAATACAAATAATAACAATAATAAACGACCACATAGTCATACAGTTAATGGATTACAACCAGTAAGACTATCGAATGGTTATCATTCATCACAAATGCATCATTCAAATACACCATCATCATCATCGTCAAATCCTAGTTTAAGATCAATACGTAATAGTATTAATGAGACAAATTCATCGATATCAAATCAACATGAAACAATCAATCAAAATGATGTTGAAGAAGAAAATCGTGAATTACAAGAATTACTTGCGTATGTTATAATAAAATAGAATATTGTTTTATTTTTTTATTTCTATACAAATATTTTGACAAGTATTAAATAACCAAAAAAAAAAAAGCAAAATTTTCTTTAATTATTATTTAATTTACTATATACATAATATAGACTAAAATAAAATCTTCATTATTTCATTTTATTTTTTTTTTGTTGTTATTTAGTAAAGGTGATGTTGCTATTCATAATGAAATTTCAGTTTTCGTCTATCGTTATGATCTAAAACAATCACAAATAGCTCGAATGGCAGGTTAGATTTTTTTTTTTTTTATTTGAACAAAGAAAAAAAATTAAAATTTTTATTTTTTGTATTTTTAAGCGGTGAATCAAGCATATGTATCGAAATTTTTACGTGGTGATTTATTTGATTTATCTGAAAATGGACGAATGGCCATATGTCGATGGTATATAAGATATAAAAAAATTGTTCAATCAATGAGTAAGTAATACAAATAAAAGAAAAGAAATATTCTTATCAATTATTTTTTCTCATTAAATATTTATTTGAATTATATGAGAGGAGGAAACATTAATGATCATTAAAGAAAATAAAATATGAATATTTATATTTAACTGATCGATTTGATCATACATACATTATGAATCAAATTTGTTTTTAATTATCAATTTTTATGTATGTACGAAAGAAAATGATCGTTGAATTGAAATTTTAAATATTAATTTTTTTTTTTTTTTGCTGAATGTTTCAATGAAATAAAAATATTATATTATACAGAGATTTCATAATTTATATATATAATTTAAATCGAGAAGTCTAGAATTTATTTTTCTTGTTATTTAGGTGGTAGTCAACCATCTGCTGATTTATTAGCTAATATAACATCAACATGTGAACCACCAACAAAAATTCCACGTCTAGTTGAATCTCAAACAAATAATAATTCATCACCTGTTTCATTTGATGCACCTAAACGTACTCGATTTACATTTCGACCTGAACATCTTGATGTAAAATCCTATTGAATTAATAAACCAAAAAGAAAGAAACAAAAATTAATTTCTCTTTTTTTTTTCTTTTTCATTATTTTATTTAGATACTTGAAAAAGCTTTTCTTGACAATCCATATCCTGATCCACGTCGTCGTGAAGATCTAGCTCGTATATGTAATGAAGCTCGAACACGTATCGATGGTACAAATGAAGTATTAAATGAACGTGATCGTGTAACTGATGCTATTGTAACACATTGGTTTCAAAATAAACGAAAAATGACAAAAAGTCAACGAGGTATTTTTATTTAAGAATTCAAAAAGCAAAAGAAAGAAATATTATTTTCTTCATTCTTTTCTAGTATCAATACAAGAAGAATCAATTCCATTAAGTCTATCAAATAGTAGTAATAATCATCCATCAACATTATCAATGAATGATTTTGAAAATACAAATGGTGATGATGATATACATATTTCTCATCATCATCAACAACAACAACAAAAATCTACTGTACCTGTTGTTGATATTGATTGTTTTGATACATCAACATCATTACTTGATCCACAGATGGCTGCATATCGTGCTATAATGAGTCGTATGGTACCATTTGCTAATAATATTAATGGTAATAGTTCACCAAAACGTTTTGTTAAACAAGAACCTATTTTAAATCAAGATGAATCAAGTCAAGGTGATGAATCAAATTCTCAATCACCATTAAACGATCATTTATCACCGTGAATATAAATAAATAAATTAATAAATTGAAATCTTTCTTCATATATATATATATATATATAAATACGTACATAAAAAAAAATCTATTCTTGTTTATTCTAGTCTTTGTCTGTATCTGTGTAATGTATTCACATACATTCCTTTCTTTTCGTTTTCTTTTTCGTTTTTGAATAGAAATATACAAAAAGAACAATTTTCTTATATAGAATGAAATATAATCATAGTGATGATGATTATTAATAAATCTATGAGATATCCAAAAATATTTGATTAGATTGATGAAAAACATATGCCGAAAATATGATAAATAGTTTTTTACGTTTTTTATTCAATCCGACAAATTATCTATCAATTTAATTCTATTATAAAAACTTATGCTTACAATAAAAGACTAACGTCAATGAGTTGTTTAATAAATGATGTGATATAATGGCTTGCGCCGTAGATGTTAAAAATAAATCTTTTTCGTGTATGACTTTATACTTTTTTTTTTTTGAAAGGTCAATCAGTATGTAGTAATTTTCTTTTCTTTTTTTTTAATAAATGTGTTATTAATTTAGTTGCATTCAATATTTTAATGAGAATTTTTTTTTTCATATATGAAAATCCCAGTTACTGTTGATAATTTAATTAACATAAGAAGATAAAAGAGCAAAAAATAGATCTAATATAGAAAAGCAAATAAAGAAATAAAGCCAAGGTTATCAATAAACACTATATTTATATATTAAGAATAAATTCTAATTATGTATTTTTTTTCTTGAAATAATTATCAAGAGTTCCATTCTGAAGCAAAAAAAACAAAAAGATTATTTCTTAAATAATTCTATTGATCATGCTTGCTTTACTTTTTTTCCATTAGATGTTTTCAATTTAATTTGTGGTAAAGCAGTGTTAAATACCTAAAAAATATTTTTGAAAACAAAAAAAATTTTTTTTTTAGAATTTTTAGTAATTAATTTTTAACCTTTTTCATAGCTGTTGAAATAGCTGATGTTTGAAGTTGTTCTTCATTAAACCATTGCATTTGTGATGTTGATATTAATATTTCATTTTGATCACAATGTGCAAAATAAATAATATATTGTTTATCAATATGAGAAAAAAGATGACGACACTAAGTAAAGGCAAATCTTTCTTTTTTAATTCTAGAAAAAAAAAAAAGATGAATGAAAAGAATTAAAAATTACTTGTCCAGCTAATTTAATATTTTCAATACTGATTGTTTTATTAAATATAGTCATATGTTGTATTTGTTCAATAATATAAATTTTTCGTTTGCGTTCATTCATTTGATCAAGATCATTTGAAGAATTTATTTCTAAAAATGACCAAAGACCAGATAAAAGACCAGATTGTTTTTGTTTAATCATTAAATATTCAAGTTTAGGATTTAAACGATAAATTATAAGAATAAATGATATTTCGTCTCGTTGTTTAATTTTATCTTTTTTTCGTGGATAATTTTCAACAAGAGAACGATTAGATTCAATATTTTCAGATTTTAAACAAAATCCACAATTTGACGAACATTCTTCAATATCAATTGGTGTTTGTTCAATCTAAATAAATACTTCAAAATACATGTATATTCTTCATATTCATATATACTTGTTGTAAATATGCTAAACATTGATTTTGAACTGGACATATAGTACATTTAGGTTTTTGTGGTGTACATACTGTAGCACCTAATTCCATAAGACTTTGATTAAAATCACCAGGTCTTTCTGGGCATACAAGTTCAGTTGCTAAAGACCTATATTATTTGAATACAATGAGTGGAATGAAATTTTTAAGGCAAAATGTTTCATTTTAATTTTAGTTTCCTGGAAAATATTTACGAATCAAAAATTATGTGTTAGGATTAGGATACTGTGCACTTTCGGAATTTGATCTTAGAAATTTTCATCTTTGTTTTTGTTTGAGAGTAGTGAGATAATCTTTGAAAGTAAAGTAAATGGTGAAATGACAGGCGTTTGCTAACCACTATAAGTTCTTTTTTCGAAGGTACAAAAAATGATTGAAGTCAATCGTTTTGTCCAGCGGATATTTCTTTACAAAATGTTGTATTGAACTAACCTATGACTTTTATCTAAGTAAAACTATAGGCATTTTGTTAAGAACTGTTTTCTTGACCATAATACCGTGTGATCACACAGTCGATTTGTTAAAAACAAAAATTTAAGATAAACAAAGATGGAAGTGACCTGTAGATAGACAAAAGAACACTCCGAATAGTTCATTTTTGTAACGTAGCTTGTAATCTACAAGCTGATACTTTGATAAAAGTTTCAATATCTACTTTCGAGTTACATTAGTGGAATCAAGAACAATCGGAAGAAGTACAAAAAAAAAGTTATGGTTATAGCCCATAGATAGAGAGCTACCAGAAACAATATGTACTGTAACATACCATAGATGATCAGTTGTAGATTTTTTCTTTAGATCACTACCAATACATCGCATGCGTGATAAAACACGAATGACATTACCATCAAGAATTGGATTTGGCTAAGAATTGGAAAATACTATTCGATAAACAACAAAAAGATAAATAAAATTGAAAAACCTGACAAAATGCTATTGAACTAACAGCACCTGCTGTATAACGGCCTACACCAGGTAATCGATTAATCATTATATCCAATTCATTTGGAAATTCGCCATTATATTCATTCATAATCTATTTAATAGAAGATGTTTTTTTTTTCTAGTTATTAAATCTCATTGAGTTTACCAATTGAGCACATTTATGTAAATTTCGTGCTCGATTATAATAACCAAGACCTATATGAAAAATATAGAGAACGAAATTCTGTCAAATATAATACCAGCCCAGCATTTGAGAACATCCTACATAAATGAATTGTTTATTATTATTAAAAATAATACATTAGCTTACATCTTCAGTAGCTTCAGCTAATGATTTGATATCTGGCCATTGCTAAAGTGGTAAATCATAATAATATAAAAAGCGATGCATAGAAAAAAAAAAACGTAATTTTATTTACCTTCATCCATGTTTCATAATATCGAATAACAGTAGCGACTTGAGTTTGTTGAAGCATTAATTCAGAAACAAGTACTAAAAATAAAAATAGAAGAAAAAAAACATATATATGTTAAATTTTGGTTTCTCAAACCTCGATAAGCAACAATATTTGTATTTGTATCATGCCAATCACGCCAAGGTAATTTTCGTTTATTAGTATCATACCATGCTAATAACGAACGACGACAAATTAAAATTTCTTCTTTTGAAAATCGATGACGAGTCATAATTATCTATAAAAAAGAGATGATAAAAAGTTTCTCACAATTTCTTTTCTCAAACGTTATCAATTAAAATTGTTGATTATGGAGTAATCTGAATAATTATATGAATAGCGCCTGTCTTGGATGAAATTGATCAGTGCTTGTTATTTTTAGCTTATAGTCAGTTGTTCCGAATTCATCTTGTTAATTTAATCAATTTCAACAGAACTTAAAAATTCTGAATAAAATTTATAAATATATTCTATTATATTATTAGATGCGAAAGAACAATGCGTTGTATCAAATGATGAAATATTTTTCTTAGACTATTTTTTGATTTATCATAAATTTCTTGAATTATTACCAATTTTACTCTCATCATCTATTATATATTATATTTGTTGTTCAAAAAAGAATCATATCATAGAAATAAAATCAAAAAAGAAAAGAACAAGAAAAATACGAATATATCAGCAATAGTGCTAAAATGCAAAATATCGATTAACAGTCAAAGAAAAAAAAATCAATTATAGCGATTTGACTAGTTAATTTTTTTTTACAAATAAAAATTTAAATTAAAAAAAAAACCGAATGAACATATAAAAAATTGATTATTTTTGTTCTCTAACATATAAAAAAAGAAAAAAAAAAGAAAATCAACGAGCCGCCATTACACCAAGTGTTAATACATCATTGCACAATTGACATACTCTTACAGGTTTTTGTAAATTAAATTTCATTATTGGTAATTCATTCACAGAACATCGTTTACATAAAACTCGACCACAATGTCGACTAAAATAAATAAAAACAAAGATCATCAACAAATATTTTTTTAATTTTCACCAAAAATTATTAAAACTTGTTGCTAACAGTAGTTCTATAGGAAGTCTAAAAGTAGTTTGGGTCTACGAAAGATGCCCACGAGCGTGTGGATTGGGCTTTGGAAATAAAATGGACCCATACAACCTCACTCTCACTCTCACCTGCCATCGCCCTCACTATCATCCACACCTGCACGCTTACCCATACTTCGCACCCTCATCCGCACGCTCGTGCGCATCTTTCGGGATCCCGAGTAGTTTAGGTCTTCTTCCTACGACTTAAAAAAAAAATCTGACGCTGCTGCTACAAATAGTCATATAGATTAAAATCTCTTAGCATCCAAAATTTGCAAGTTTTCATATTAAAACAATACTAACCAATGGTGTCTTCGATTTGTGATTGTAAATTTCATTCCACATTCTAAACAAATCTCACTTTCACCCCATGGAGGTTCACGCGTAATAATATCTATTAAATAATAATAATAAAAAAAAAACAAACTTAATATTAAACTAATTAAATAACTTACCAAGTATATTAACAAGTAAAGCTTTACTTGCTGCAGGTATAGTAAATATTGAGAATGAATCATTATTACAAATACTTAAATTAGCACCAGCTGATACAAGAGCACGACATAATTGACCATGACCATTTTTATAAGCCAATATAAGAGCTAAAAAAACATTTGTATGATATTCAAAAAAAAAATTTTCTTTCCGAAAAAAAAAGTCACCTGTATTTCCTTGTCCATCTTGAATATCAAGTGGAAATGTTGGATGATATTTTAAAATTTGCTCAAGTATGCCTTGAGCATTTCCTTGAGGATGAGCTGCTAAAACATGAAGACAATTCATTCCTCTACAAACAAAACATAGAGATATATAAATTTTAAACGGGGAAAAAAAAAAATTCTTTTT